CTTAATTGGGTAATTTCAGGGTAAACTAAACAGCCTATTCGCTGTTTATTGGTAATAGTCTTATTTTTCAAAGACAACTGTGGCCAGAGAAAAAGCCGATTTTTCGTTCAGAATTCGAGCGCAAAGGGACGGTCCCTCTCAATAGACACTAATTGATGCTTTTTTTCAGTATGTGGTAAATCAAAATAAATTTCGAATATAAAATTAAACTGTAGTATCATAATCGTTAATTATTAATGTCATTATTTTTTATTTTTTGTTTTTGTTTTTTAACTTTCTATTTCTAAAACACTATTTTATTGCATTCAAATTTATGTATGCCTGTGTAAAAAGCTGAATTGAACGCGGCATGACAAATGAAAAGTTGTGCACATACGGGAACAAAATCTACAAAATCTACGAACCAAAAAACGAGTAATGATTTATTGATTGACGTAGAGACGTCGTCTTTGTATTCACATTTTACATGTTTTAATATGAAAAACGTAAATTTCTTGCTAACTCAAATATCAAAAGTTTTCATATTTTAGTACATAATAACGAACACATAATAAAATTAAAATATAATAAAATTAAATTTTATTTGGCTGCTGTTACTAAAAAAAAACATCAAATAGTGTCTATAGAGAGGGACCGTCCCTTTCCGCTCGAATTCTGAACGAAAAATCGGCTTTTTCTCCTGCTACAGTTGTCTTTGAAAAGTAAGACTATTACCAATCAAGAGCGAATAGGCTGTTTAGTTTACCCAGAAATTACCTAAATAAGTGAACGGTCCCTTTAATGATATTTGTAATTCTTGCCCCGATGTTAGGTTTGTGATCTAGATAATTCTAGCCTCGATGTTGAGTTTATGATTTAGATAATTCTAACCTTGATGTTGAGTTTATGATCTAGATAATTCTAGCCTCGATGTTCAAGAAAGTAAAGTGGGGGTGTTTTCATATAAAGTATTAATGCATACCAGTGGGGGTATTTCAATTTACCGACCGGGGGCCGAGTGGGATAAGAGAGAGGAGGGGTAGAGCAGGGTTGCAGGAGGGGTGATAGAAATAGAATATCTCTGGGTGGGTATTTAAATTGGGATTAATAAAAATAATGATTAGGTGGAGACAATCTTTAGATAAAAACACGATCTTATTTAATAACATACCTTGAAACCAGTGGCGTACATAGGGGGGGGGGGCGGTAGTCCTCTTCCCCCCCCCCCTGGGAGTTAAAATACAAAATTAAAAGGAAACCAATTTAAAAAGTAACAGCTGACAATGACAAAGACTAAGGATTTGTGTAAATTCACTGTTAACACAAAATTTTAAGATACTTTAAACTAAAACTTTTGCAAAAACAAGACCTCGACATATTGGCTGCTTATAACATGATGGAAGATGTAAGAAAGGCATTCTATTTTTCTATTTTTCTATTTTTTCTTACAGTCAATTTATAAAGGAATTGAGTCTTTGGCACAAACTCAAATATGTAAACCTTTGGAATCTGATGTTGTAAACCTTTGATATTTTAAATTCAGAATATTTGATCTAACAGAATTCATAGTTTGAAATATCTAAGGTCTACAACCATATTTAAAGATAGATTGCTCATAAGACGACATTTTTCATCTTGAAAGATATAAATGAGATGTTTTAAAGATATTCCTATTATATAGATTAACTAGGTAGGTTTTGAACATTGGCTGTTCTTATGTTATTGAGTACTTGTGGTGTACATTAGTTCTGTAGAGAGAAATTTAAGTTAGTTTAGTCCTTCTCATGTCCTTCTTCAGTTCTCGTCAATATGATATATTGTTCAGTGAAATATTGTTGTTAAAATAGTTCCATTCCCGGAGTTATTTTACACTCTATTCAGGAGGAATGGTTAAACCTAGTATATTGGAAAAGACCCAATCCGAATGTTATCTGCAACGAACATTTTCCTAGTTAAATATAAGTAAATGGGAAAAAGTTGTCAAAGTCTGCTGCTTCCTCAATTTTGTCTTGCCCCCCCTTCGCTAAAATCCTGTGTACGCGCCTGCTTGAAACAAGCCTGGAAAAAACAAACAAAATAAAATAAATAAAATTCCATGAAAATTTTCAGATGTATATGTAATATTAATTTGTATCATAAAAAGATTTCAAGATTTTGAATTTTTACCCTCTTGCGAGTTTTCTCTTCTGATTCAACGAGAGGAAATGATCAGAATTTAACAATATTCAGCTAGATAAAGGAAGATATTTTCCACATCAGATAAAGGTTTAATGGGTACCGGTGTGAATTGGGCATGTCCTTCGGGTAAATAATGGCAATTTGAAATAACATCGGCAATTCCATTATGTACACATATACTGTTTGTACGGTTTATATACAACATTTTAAAACATAAAAAAAGGTGAAAAGTAGGATTTAATAAAAGTAGTATAATTGAATAAAATAAAAAACGATTTTTTTGGACAAAAAAATGACTTGTTTTTTTCTTTAGAAAAGTCATAAAATGGGATACTGAAAATAGTGATTTTGAATATTTTTTTAATTCTTAAGTAAATTTTAAAATCATTCTATTCATTTTGATAAAAGGAGTTTTAATAGTTTCAATAGTTTTAAACTGTTGCCAAAAAAATATAACAACAAATTTTGGAAACTTCTTAATTATTAAATTCAACGATGTACCCGTATTTGCTCGTAACGACAGGGTGTCCCACGAAACCTGACAGTTGGTAAATTGTTTAGAATGTCGTCTTCCATACACAATATTAGATATTGAAGGCTGTTTGCAGTTTATTTCGGTTAAAAAATCTTTTGCTCAAATATATTTTACTTTGTAGTTAATTTTACTGTAATATGACTTCTATATGATATTTTTATTATTGTCTTTGGTATTAAACAACTTAACAAATTAAGGAAGAAGACATTCTAAACTATTTACCAACTGTCATGTTTCACGGGACACACTGTATGTCTGGGATGCTGCGGAATAAATTTAGTTAAGATTTATAATGTCCGTCGAAAACCATCAAGAAGACATGGGCCGTGGTTGCATCATGCATGCGAAATATTTGGTTCCCATAAATGTAAAATTCTGTTTTATGAATGTGAATTTTTGGTTTTATGAATGTAAAATTTTGGTTTTTGAATTAAAATTCTAGGTTATGAATGTAAAGTTTTGGATTATGAATGTAAAACTTTGTTTTTTTAATGTAAAATTTTGGTTTATGACTGTCAAATTCTGATTTATGAATGTAAAATTTTGGCTTTTGAATGTAAATTTTAGCTAATGAATGTAAAGTTTTGGGCTATGAATGGAAAACTTTGTTTTTTAATGTAAACTTTTGGTTTATGACTGTCAAATTCTGATTTATGAATGTGAAATTTTGGTTTATAAATGTAGAATTTTGATTTCCTAATGTAAATTTTAGTTAATGAATGTAAAATTTTGGTTTCTGAATGTTAATTTTAGTTTATGATGTAAAATTTTGGTTTATGAATGTAAAATTTAGTTTCATAATGTAAATTTCAGTTTATGAATGCTAAGTTTTGGTTTATGAATGTAAAATTTTGGTGCATATATCGTTATGTAACAAAAGCATAGAGAATGATACAGTACAGTACATACAACTGAGGAATAGTAAGACGACTGTGAAACTCAAGTTATAATTGCAAATAGTCTAATGTTCATAAACACAGCAATTGTGTAGTGTCCACAGACCCATCTCACTGAATAAGTTGATTTTCAATCAATGATTGGAACCATACAGGATTTTAGTCTTACATGCATCCTACTTTAGGTTAACGAGATAAAACAGTTAATCTGAACAATAATAAGGAAAAAAAATATGCTTATTTCTGTAAAAATAATATACTCGACGAGATGGATTCTGTAAACTTTTAATGAATGGATTAAGATCAACTCATGGACGGATTAACTAAGCTAAATTGGTTATAATTCTCTCTTCCCTGTGAGCGATTAAGCATCAATTAATCTGTTCTTGGCTCTTTGATAGTTACTACCTCTGAAATTACCTAGAGTTCTTACCATTTATAGTGTGACAATCTAATCGCAAGGAGAATGGAATGGATTTCTTTCCATTAAAAAAAATGTTAGATACTTTTAATGATTCCGTCAAATACCCCTCAAAATATGATAAGTCATGGTCTGTATTTTGGTTTAATTAGCCCAAACTTCGATTTGAAGTTCTGCCTTTGCTTTGATGGTGTCTTTATAAATAGTTTACTATAAAGAAAAAACAGGAAACCATGTTATAAAAGGGCAACAAGAATATCATATTGTAGTCTTTTTGAAATTAGCTTTCGCAGATACTGTAAAAGTATTCAGTTAAGAACATGTGCCTGATTTTTTTAAAATTAGCTTTCGCAGATACTGTAAAAGTATTCAGTTAAGAACATGTGCCTGATTTTTTTAAAATTAGTTTTCGCAGATACTGTATAAGTATTCAGTTAAGAACATGTGCCTGATTTTTTTAAAATTAGTTTTCGCAGATACTGTAAAAGTATTCAGTTAAAAACATGTGCCTGATTTTTTTAAAATTAGTTTTCGCAGATACTGTAAAAGTATTCAGTTAAGAACATGTGCCTGATTTTTCTAAGCCATCTACGGATTAGATCCTAGACCCTGAGTTTGACACGGACATTAAATGTCGTCTTCTAAAAACATACCGAAAAATAATAAATTAATTTTTCCCCATTGTAACCTTATTCAACAACTTCTCGACAAATTAAAACATTTTCAGAAATAAATGCGGGTTTCATGTAAAACATAAAAATTTCTCCTTTTCAACAATATGCTAGGAGAGAACCATGACAACTATGAATTTGGAATACGACCTTGAGACTTATTTAAGATTTTAAATAGCTCAATGAACATCAGACACATCAATTGTGCAATGTAAACTAAGCCATTTCACTTCTTAAAATATAATTAAGCTACTATTAAAACTTTTTGTTTTATAACGTCATCTAAAACGCCTTAAGATCGCTTAATTCCAATTTAAACATTTTAAAGATTAGATGTATATTTGGAGAAAAATAAAAATACATAGATATCACATAAAAATTTTAATCAATTAATTCAAAAGGTTAAACCCTCCTTCTCCCCCTCCTTCTTTGCCATGTAAGGACTAGTGTGGGTGTGGATGGTGGGGGTGTGGGTGGAACTGTTAACATGTTTGATAACAATATTTTGAAGAATAATGTTGGATCGACCATTGCTGTAAGCTCGAGCATCATGTCCGTAACATTCATCGTCAGAATGAGAGTAGCTGTCCATCTTAGAACAAACTGGACTAAAATAAAAATAACATTTATTCTTGACTTGACCGTAAGAAGACGACTTAAAGGTAGTCTTTGATTTGATAAAATTTGCTGCATTTATCACCCGAGATAAGAATTTGAGTTTAAAACATTAAAATCTAAACGAAATTCTTAATATTTACAGCACTAATATGCCAGGCCACATTTTGGAAATGTCCAGTGTTTCAAGAATAATATATCTTGAAATAGGTAGAGCCTCATTAATAAATTTAAGGATCAAAGACGACTTTCATATGATTAAAATGTGAGATTCTTGAAACCATAAAGTGGGTTGAATGCATAGATATATAAATAAACATAGATAGCTTATGTACGCAAAATCACCAAGAATTGTACAGTCCGCGAACTCATACTTCTAGGGGTCAAAGTGTACTTCAATGATAAGCGGGGTGGTTTAGTGTTTTAATGGATTTCAGGAGTGAATTTTATTTTGAGAATCAATATATATCATATTGACGAGAACCGAAGAAGGACATGAGAAGAACTAAACTAACTTAAATTTCTCTCTACAGAACTCATGTACACCACAAGTACTCAATGACATAAGAACAGCCAATGTTCACAACCGACCTAGTTAATCTATATAATAGGAATATCTTTAAAACATCTCTGTACATTTATATCGTTCAAGATGAAAAATGTCGTCTTATGCGCAATCTATCTTTATCTATGGTTGAATGTTGCTAATAAATTCAAAGCTCAAAAAGGCTTTCAAGTCGTCATGCTTTCTTAATGTTTCGTGGAACTCCCTGTATCTGAAGGTATTATTGAAAGTTTCAAAGGTTGCCCCCATTGAATGAATTCCTGCATACGCCCTTTTCCTTGATATTAATTGGCAACATTCATCAGCACACTACAGTAATAGCAAGAAAACTCAGAAAGGAAGACGACCTTTAGACTAAAGTTAGGACTTTAGATAGTTCAATGAACATGAGGCAATGAACATGAGGCAATGAACATGAGCAGAACAATGAACAGAGCAATTGTACAGTGTAAACAGACCCATTTTTTAGAACTTCATAGTAAGACCACTCGTTTTGTATTAACAACAAATGCACTCAAGTAATACTTTCATGTCGTCTTCTTTCTCCAGTTTTCTGGTTCTCATTGCACAGAAGATGAAAGCAAACATAATAAAGAAATATTAATCCACTTAAACACGAGAACGCGTATTGACATCTCGCATCCCATTTTATTTTACCAAATTTTCCCATTTCAGCAAGAGATATTTATGGGGGGAGGGTTGAGATATATATAACAACTTACACTCTATCGAATGGGAAGCCCATAGGTCTCGAATCAGGATAAGGAACACCAGGGTTGGTTCCACAGCTTCCCCAGGCATACTTGCTTAACTCAGACCAATCAGCTCTAAATACCATAAACGGTTCACAACAAGGAAGATAAGGTCTGAAGTGTACTGCTCTAAATACCATAATCAATTCACAACAAGGAAGATAAGGTCTGAAGTGTACTGCTATAAATACCATAAACATTTCACAACAAGGAAGATAAGGTCTGAGTGTACTGCTCTAAATAATATAAACAATTCACAACAAGGAAGATAAGGTCTGAGTGTACTGCTCTAAATACCATAAACATTTCACAACAAGGAAGAAAAGGTGTGAAGTGTACTGCTCTAAATACTATAAACAATTCACAACAAGGAAGATAAGGTCTGAGTGTACTGCTCTAAATACTATAAACATTTCACAACAAGGAAGAAAAGGTGTGAAGTGTACTGCTCTAAATACTATAAACAATTCACAACAAGGAAGATAAGGTCTGAGTGTACTGCTCTAAATACTATAAACAATTCACAACAAGGAAGATAAGGTCTGAAGTGTACTGCTCTAAATACCATAAAAAATTCACAACAAGGAAGATAAGGTCTGAAGTGTACTGCTCTAAATACCATAAAAAATTCACAACAAGGAAGATAAGGTCTGAAGTGTACTGCTCTAAATACCATAAAAAATTCACAACAAGGAAGATAAGGTCTGAAGTGTACTGCTCTAAATACCATAAAAAATTCACAACAAGGAAGATAAGGTCTGAAGTGTACAGCTCTAAATACCATAAACAATTCACAACATTTAATGACTTTAAACACTCAATACTTAATAGAAAAATTGTTTAAGACGACATCTAAAAACTTACAGCAGAGCCTCATCATTTTCAAGAAATTGGCTGACTATTCCAAACATACGGAACCTGGAACCAGCCTTAGAGCCTCGGGGTAACATCAAGTTCCTAAACATTTAATTTCTAAGTTTATAAAATTAGTCAATAACAATTTAACCTGTTTAATGCTTAAGTGACCACTCAATTTAATCTGCTAAATACTAAGTGATCACTCAATTTAGTCTGTTAAATACTAAGTGATCACTCAATTTAATCTACTAAATAGTAAGTGATCGCTTAATTTATCTGTTAAATACTAAGCGATCACTCAATTTAATCATCAAGAAAGGCAATCATTTGATCATCAAGAAAGGCAATCTAGACTTCAAAAAAGGGAATCTAGACTTAGTTTAAAACTCTAACCTTTGAAAAGATTCTCTACATCCTTATTATGCATGGCGAAGACAAATAAAGAGTGGATAAATTTTCGCTTTAAAATTAAAAATATCCCAATAGTACCATTGTGAATCAAGTGTTTAGTGTCATTTGAAATAAATATTCATATTTACTTACTGAGGGATACCGCAGTTCACATGGAAGATATCCTCAGTTTTATTATATCCAAATCCGGATACAAGATTCTCCTGATAGCTGCAGGGCCAGTCCTAAATTTAAGGAATAAGTTTATTTAACGATTAGAAACCCCAGTCCTAAATTAAGGAATAAGTTTATTTAACGATTAGATACCCCAGTCCTAAATTTAAGGAATAAGTTTATTTAACGATTAGAAACCCCAGTCCTAAATTAAGGAATAAGTTTATTTAACGATTAGAAACCCCAGTCCTAAATTTAAGGAATAAGTTTATTTAACGATTAGAAACCCAACTTTGCAATGAAATTAAATTCTGTAATCGTCAACCAAGTCAAATTAGAATATTTTAAATGGAAAAAGAGCACTCCCTGGGTCTATCGGCTACAAGTTGCCCGAAAAAGAGATTACATCAATATAAAGATGAAAGTTAATCTATTAAATGTTTCGGAGATATGAGGAGGAGAGTAAACTAGTATTAAGCAGTACCTTGCAAACCATTGGTTCCCTGGTGAAGGGTGTCGTGGAGGGATTCCTTGTATAAACCTTGGTTCCCTTTTCTAAATATAAAACCAACTAATAAGAAACATTCTATTTTAAGTTCCCCGGAATTTAAAAAATTTGTATGACAAATTTAGGATTTTACTCTACTAAAAGTTTAAATATCATTGTGAATGTGGTATGCCCTATTTAAATAAAATATCATCTGAGGTCCCTATATAAGAAGTTCACACATAACATAATACTTACGAAGTAGAATAGGCCATTTATCTATCTCTACAACATCGTCGATATAGTTAGTTACAAACTCAGCATCAGGAATCAGGAACAATCTAAACAAACTCAGTATCAGGAACAATCTAAACAAACTCAGCATCAGGAATCAGGAACAATCTAAACAAACACAGTATCAGGAATCAGGAACAATCTAAACAAACTCAGCATCAGGAATCAGGAACAGTCTAAACAAAACTGGAACAATCTAAACAAACACAACATCAGGAATCAGGAACAATCTAAACAAACACAGTATCAGGAATCAGGAACAATCTAAACAAACTCAGTATCAGGAATCAGGAACAATCTAAACAAACTCAGTATCAGGAACAATCTAAACAAACTCAGTATCAAGAATCAGGAACAATCTAAACAAACTCAGTATCAGGAATCAGGAACAATCTTAACAAACTCAGCATAAGAAATTAGGAACAATCTAAACAATATCAGCATCAGGAGTCAGGAACAATCTAAAGAAACTCAGTATCAGGAGTCAGGAACAATCTAAACAAACTCAGTATTATCAGGAATCAGGAACAATCTATAGAAACTCAGTATCAGGAATCAGGAATAATTTAAAGTAAACTTATCAGGAACATGCATTCTAAAAGTATACTTCGTATCAGGATTCAGGCATAACAAAACATCTTTGACTCTATCTAGATAAATAAAAAATAAATATATATAAATAAGTCTTCATCAGAATATTCTTATAATTGGACAGTCCATAAATGTTGAAAGATTTTAGAAATTCAAAAGTCGAGATTTTTAATATTTGCTTTAACAGAATTACGTATCTAGTTCAGAAAGCTAATAAACGGGATTAATTCAGGGAATTTTTAATAAAAGACTTATTTGTATCCTGAACTGGATAAAAAAATCTATGCATACGTCTTCAGTAGAAATCTACAAATTCACATCTGGCAAACCGTAAAAAAATCCACGAATTTATATCCAGCAAACCATTAGAAGAAATCCACGATTTGTACCTAGGAAACCGTACAATAGACAGAAAAAAAACCTGAAAAATCCTGCAGTTTCTTCCTCTGAATGTATCTTGACCTTGTAGTCCCATGGAAGATGATTTAACCTAGATTATTATTTTTATAAAACCTTTTTTTAAGATCTAAATATTTATTTTATGCTAATCCATGTAAAGATTTAAACAGGTTTACATTACATTACAAGATATAGCATTACATTTACCAAAAAAAAGGAAAAAGACAGCTTAACATGCTAAATTTTTTTGAAAAAATTGCTTTTTATGCACTGTACCAAATTTTAACCCCGAGGGAAATATATTCAAAAAAGACCCAAAAATTAAGATTGACGGTTAACACTAATTACCTTTCGTATCTTACAATAGAACCAACTGGATTTTTGTACAGATCCTTTCCAGCTGGTTCACCTATATCATCAAAATCCAAACCTGAAACAAACATGATCGTCAAAACCTGAATTTAGGCACTTGATTAAATGTAATAAATGAAAATACACTGGTTCACGAAAGCTAACTGATCTCTATTCATTCCTATTAAATTTCTTCAGGATTGTAAGGAGCTGGTTGAATGAATATATAATCTGTTAATCCTCTCTCTGATTTCTCCATGAACGAGATGAGCTGGTTACATGATTATTTAACCTGTTAATCCTTTCTCTGATTTCTACATGAATCAAACAAGCTGGTTGAACTGTTCCAACTTGAAATAGTCGGATTTCACCAGAATTATTTTTTAATATAATTTCTTGGGTGCCCATGGAACCTCACAAATATGATATAATAATAATCTGTTAATTCTTTCTCTGATTTCTACATGAATCGAGCTGGTTGAATGAATATATAATCTGTTAAACCTTTCTCTGATTTCTACATGAATCAGACGAGCTGCAGTTACATGATTATTTAACCTGTTAATCCTATCTCAGATTTCTACATGAATGCAATGAGCTGGTTATATGAATATTTAACCTATTAATTCTATCTCAAATATCTCCATAAATGTACTGAGCTGGTAATATGAATTTAAAACACATTTTTTAAAAATTTTTATCATTCATAAACCTTCCCTGTGCCCTGTGGTCACGTGATGTCCCACAAAAAATTTGGGCCCGATCGGTTCAGCCGTTTTGACGTTTATTGGATACGAACAAACAGACAGACAAGCCAAATTTATAGATAGATAACCTGTTAATCCTATCTCAGATTTCTCCATGAACGTGATGAGCTGGTTTGCTGAATGAGCCCCTGTAGACTGGAAAGTAAGCTCATGAATCTCAACTCCAGGAAACTCAAGCTCAGCATCAGTATACAAAGGCAGGCTCGCTTTATAGTGGGAAAACGCATTCAAAATAAACTTGTTAAACCTAAAAAGGAAGAAAACATTATTTCTTTGCAATAAGGGACTTGAGACATAAATACCATTAAAAGAAAGTTCCACATCTGTAAAAAGGATTTCTACCTGTAGAAAAGAGAATCCCTACCTGTAGAATTAGAATCCCTACCTGTAGAATTAGAATCCCTTCCTGTAGAAAAGAGAACCCCTACCTATATGACAGAGGATCCCTACCTGTACAAAAGAGAATAACACGCGTAGAAAAGAGAATCCCTACCTGTAGAAAAGAGAATCCCTACATGTAGAAAAGAGAATCCCTACCTGTATAAAAGAGAATCCCTACCTGAATAAAAGAGAATCCCTACCTGTATAAAAGAGAATCCCTACCTGTAGAAAAGAGAATCCCTACCTGTATAAAAGAGAATCCCTACCTGTAGAAAAGAGAATCCCTACCTGTAGAAAAGAGAATCACTACCTGTAGAAAAGAGGATCCCTTCCTGTAGAAAAGAGAATCCCTACCTGTAGAAACGAGAATCACTACCTGTAGAAAAGAGGATCCCTGAGACAAGTATTGGGACTATAAAGAGCATTAATCCCTCCTTCAAGATTAAACTGCGTAATATTATTTCCTTCGAACACACTTCTCATCAAACCTAAGAAATTAGAATCAAAGGTTAAGTTTAATCATGAAATTAGATTTAAAGGTTTAAAGGTTTAATCATGGTCTGAATATTTCCAGTAACAAAATTTTGATTTAAAGTATTTGAGTCTTTGCCACAAACTCTGATTTTCCTACCGCTATATCTTTGCTACCCAATGTCTGCGACCTTTAATATTTCAAACTATGAATTATTTTAGATAAAATAATCTAAGTTTGAAATATTACAGCTTTCACCATCAGGTTGAAGAGATATTAGGATTAGAAAATCAGAGTTTGTGACAAAGACTCAATTCCTTTATACGCTGGTTGTATATTTTTACCTAGGAATATGTAAGATTGGTTGTATATTTTTACCTAGGAATATGTAAGATTGTTTGTATATTTTTACCTAGGAATATGTAAGATTGATTGTATATTTTTACCTAGGAATATGTAAGATTGGTTGTATATTTTTACCTAGGAATATGTAAGGTTGGTTGTATATTTTTACCTAGGAATATGTAAGATTGGTTGTATATTTTTACCTAGGAATATGTAAGATTGGTTGTATATTTTTACCTAGGAATATGTAAGATTGGTTGTATATTTTTACCTAGGAATATGTAAGATTGGTGCATCGTATCTCCATAGTACATCTGATTTACACTATCAGTATAAGAGCTCATAAAGGAATTCATGAAGTCACTAAAAACATAAAAAATATCAAACTAAGGAGTCGAGGAAAATAGCTTTTGTTTTTACAGATTTCCTACTTTTGGCGAATGTTCTGAACTAGATATTCATACTAAAACTTGTTAATTGAGGATTTAACTGGAATTTAAAAAAAACATAAGCCTAATCTGAACTAGATACTCAAGCTAAAACTTGTTAATTGAGGGTTCAACTCTATGTAAAAAAAAACATAAACCTAATCTGAAAATAAGTATGGAAGATTTAGTCGGAAAATTATTACATTACTTCTTTTAAGATACCACAAATGAAGATGAACAGTGTAGAGAACCAAAAACATGGATATCTAATATTTGTTAGATTAGACATAACTTATCAGAGTACCATAGTAAGTCGGACATTACATAGAGGGTTACTTAAACTTATCTGTACAGTCCCTTTAAGTAGCTACACCTAACACCACTTACTTGATTCCTAAGTCTCGACCCCCTTCGGCCCTAAGAGGAACAACTCCACCAAGATGATCGTAAAGTTGTTTATCTTTGACCGACGCCATCATGGTTAAAGCTGATCGTTCCATGATCTCCGCCATCCAATCTTGTCTAAGAAACAGAACATTTTAGCAAATTCATTCGAACAGATTTACACCACGAAAAATAATTTTCTATTTCTTTAATTTCAAAGTTTGAATTGTAAAAAGGTTATCTAAAGTCAGTACTTTTGGAGTATTATTAATCTAAACACGTCTTAATCTCGATATCCAACGTTAGATTTTAAAATTTAAGGATAAACATTTGATCCCTGTTGTCCCTGCAGGGTTTGACCACCCCGAGATTCATTTGACCCCCCAAGTTCATGCTGCAGAGATAAAGGGAAAGGAAGAGATAGGGAGGGGGGGGGAAGTTGTGTCAACTCCTCTGGTTCATTTTAAACTACCTGAATATAGAGTTGTCAGGCCTAGCTAGGTATCCGAGTCCAGATATACCATAACTCAAAACACTTTTCAGCTTTGAGTTGTATCCAATAGGGACTGGGAAACTCCACTCCAAGGGGCCATATACTTCAATCCGAGGCAAACCATTGGAAATCCTAAATATGAATTTCAAAAAGGATTGCTTGATATAAAAGTAACACACCTAATTTACAAAACAACGGATCCACTTTAAGGAAGACTTAGACTTTCGAACAGATAATTCTTTCTTTGCATTATAAATAGTCATTTTGATAGAACCCCATCTTAAATATCAGATAAGAAATAAACATCTCCATGCAATTTTGTTAACGTGTAACGTCGTCATGTGGGGAGAGTCAAATGTGTTAAGTAAATCGAGAAGAATAAAATAATTCACATTTTTAAAGTTATCATTTGTAACAAGAAAAATCAAAAAAATACCTTTCTAGAGAATATCTTCCGATTAAGTTCTTGTGATGAGCGTACTCAATTTCTCCACTTCTGTCAATCTGAAAATAAAAGAAATAAAAACAAACATTGAAACAAGCCAATACAATTATAACATTATACTAACAAATAAAAGAGAACGTTCAAGCCAACGTGCGGAAGCAAAGAACATTTGCGTGATTCTGTCGAGCTATTCAATCAATTTGAGGCAAAATCGGTCAAAGGGTTCATGAGTTATGATCGGATAACCAAACAAACCGAGATCACAAGTATGATATAATATTAATCTGTTTCTGTTTAATGTTTTTAAATGAACGTCTTAAATTTTGAAACTGCAGGTAGAACAATGGGCAAACGTTATTTGCTTGGCTTTAACATTTCTAGGTGAGTTAGTTCGAGAAAGTTTAGTCTCAGGGCAAAACTGGGTTTCCGAGCAAGTAACAAATTAATAATCAAAATGTCCCTAGAAAATTTATTCCTACCTTACTCGACCCATCCATAGAATCCTGGGGGAAATCCAGCATGCTATAAAACCCAAACACAGGCTGTAAAGTTGCAGGAGCATTCACTCTCTAAAAAGATTTTTTTTGCACGATACAAAATTCACAAGTCATTGTTTGGTAAATGAAACCCACAAATAAGTTTCGTGTGACCCTCTTTCACAAGAGGAAGACCTGGTTCACAACGGAACCCTTTAAACCTTTTGATTAATAATGTGGTATCTTAGTATTAATAAATTTTAGAATTACACAAGCGAAAAATAAAGTATTTAGAAAGAAAACTCATGGATATCTTATTCATTCTTAATCAGTCAGGGCGTTTTTAGGTAACACTGAATTGGACAAGAAGGGTGACTTGAAATTACGACTAATTGTCCCTTTATATTATAATAGTTTAGAATGTTAGCTTACCTGGAACCAGGATTCAAAATGAGAGTTTACCTGGAACCAGGATCCAAAATGTTAGTTTACCTGGAACCAGGATCCAAAATGTTAGTTTACCTGGAACCAGGATCCAAAATGTTAGTTTACCTGGAACCAGGATCCAAAATGTCAGTTTACCTGGAACCAGGATCCAAAATGTTAGTTTTCCTGGAACCAGGATCCAAAATGAGAGTTTACCTGGAACCAGGATCCAAAATGTCAGTTTACCTGGAACCAGGATCCAAAATGTTAGTTTACCTGGAACCAGGATCCAAAATGAGAGTTTACCTGGCACCAGGATCCAAAATGAGAGTTTACCTGGAACCAGGATCCAAAATGTTAAGTTTACCTGGAACCAGGATCCAAAATGAGAGTTCAAAGTGGGATCCTCTCTGAAAATATATAGAATTAAGCTCTAGCAGTAATCTTCTCACAACGTGGACATAACAAGTTAATTAAAATTTTAATGTACAGCGCCTATTCAGAAAAATTCGTTTAATTCTATTAATTGTTACCAGGGAGAGATGCAGGGGTCCTTATAATTCCATCTAATTAATATATTAAGCCTTTTTGTTGTACACAATTGGAAGTATGATGCCAAGTTGTAGGAAAAATTCCATACTGCAGAATGTATAGTGTATACTGAAAGTGTTTATTTTTCTGTATATCCTAATTTCTCTAATATTAATATTTACATCTTTTAACGCTACAAATGCAGTACACATTTCTGAAGTGTAGTACACGCAAACAAAAACTTACCAAAGTCACAATGGCAAAGAATGTGTACTTTCATGCCCTTATCCCATTTGGAATCGGAATGAAATTATATGGACCCCTGGCGAAATGCGAACAGTTTCTTCAATTTTAATTCAATGCCATTTGGGTTTTTAAGTCTTAGGATTTCTCCAAATTTTTTTAATTATCTAAAAATTAAAGGCCATTGTTAAACCGTTTCTATTTTGTAATATTTTTAAATAGGTGTACAATACAGGCTTAGCCAAGAAATTAATACTGCAGTCTGTTTCCTTATATTAATGATTTCCCTAAAATTGTAATCTTGGTTATTTCTTTGTCAAATACTCAAAAACCATAAAAGACTTTATTCAAAAGCAGAAGACTTAAAATTCGGTAATAGTGATGGACCAAACACCTGTAAGTAAAAAAATAGGAGTTAGTTCCACATTGATTGAAAATATATTTCGGTCTGGGTTGCCTCTCGTCCTTTCTTGAGATTGTTTCTGTCACAAAGATTAATAACAAACCAACTTTGGATAGTCATATTTTAAGAGTTTCTGGTAGTCCTTACGGTAAAGTAGTTGTATTAAAATCAATTTAAAATACCTCCAATAGCCAAGTAAACTCTCAGGATCAGAATCAGGAAGAGTTTTGAATGGAGGTTTATTCCAGGTAATCTCCACATACTTACCAACCTTGACAAAAAAGCAATCCAAATTTTACTAAATTATTTGCAATAAGATCTAAGCCCTGAAATAGAGACAAAGTTTGTTAAGTCTTTTACCATGCGAGATTAAAATAAAAATCACATGTTTAAGAATTATTCCAAATATTTAATAAGCAAAATCAACTATTTTTGAATTTTTGAACGAGTATATAGATACTCATAGAACACACTTACTCCAAGTGTTCCTAATCCGAAAATTGTGTTACTGTATTTTCAAATAATTTAAATTTCATAAAGAATTATAAATGAATGTAAAGATATATGATCAGAAACGTATGGTGAAATCTATCAATTTCGAAAAAACTTTTGGGTTTGAAAAAACTCAAAGACCTGTTTCGGTTCGGTGCAAGCATCATAAGACCAGTAAGCATCAATGGATTTACTTTTTGTTGCATCATGGCATCCTGCACTACTGTAGCACCACTGACGACCTTAAATTCAATAAATAAGGCCAGTAAGCATCAATATTTTTGCTTATTATAGCATCATTGTATCCTGCACTACTGTAGCACCTCTGACAACCTAAATACAATAAATAAGACCAGTAAGCATCAATATTCGTGCTTATTGTAGCATCATGGCATCCTGCACTACTGTAGCATCACTGACAACCTAAATACAATAAACAAGACCTGCAGTAAGCATCAATATTCTTGCTTATTATAGCATCATTGCATCCTGCACTACTGTAGCACCACTGACGTCTTCTTATGTCGACGTAATTTTAAGTAAACATTCTTTTAATTTTTATGACCCTTTACCCTTCCGAATTTTTTGATTTTCTTACTGAAGATTGTTTGTTAATCCTAAACAGGCTGGGGGGGGGGGCGCACCCAGCCCCCCGGTAGTTTCTTTGTACTAGCACTATCATTTTTAACACTATGACCGTGAAATTTTGTGACTTTATGAATAGTACAGGGCACAGGGCGGAAAAAAAGTCTGTGAAAAAAATCTGAAATAGCCCATAACTTTTTTTGGGACTAAAGCTACAAATCTAAAAACATGCATTTCAAACACTTCAATATTTGTTTTTCAAAAAATATATATTTTTTCATTTTTTTGTTATTTTTTTAGGCATTTTTTGCACCCTCCCTAGCACCCAAACTATTTAAGTTATCGGTCTAATTTTTTTCTTCGAGCTGGCCATAAAAAATTGGACTATGAACATGCAGTTCAACCCTTTACCTATTCTTTATGGCCTTTTTCTAGACTATAAATAGGATCAGACCCCTCAGCCTTTATTGAGTTAAATCACTTGCAGATTTATGCAAGACTGGCACAGGAAGAAAATAAGGGTTTTTGTTTTTTAAGAAAAAAGTAACAATATCTTACTTATAGTTGATCCGAAAAAGAGCTATAAAAGAGTATCGTTGTTAACGGCAAATCACTCAAAATTACGTGAACAGTCTCCTTTAAAATATTTTTATTAGCTCTTACCCTTGAAAATATCTACACAGTTTCCATTCTTGTGTTCAGGTAAGCAGGCACAGGAATGCTTATTACCCTCTCCTCCTAGGTAACCAACTGGGAAAAATTCCTGAGAAAAAAATAAAAAATTTTATTAGGATTATTTTCAAATAGGTCAAATAGGTCAATTCCTTTATCTGTGCAACCTAATCTTTAAACCTTTGGTATATCACTTAGATTTTTTGATTTAACAAAGATTTACAAGACTAGGTTGCACAGATGAAGGGATTAGAAAATTTGTGTTAGTGGCAAGAAATTCCTTTAATTAAAACACAATTGGAAATTTGATTGGTTGATATATTACCTGTGGATATAAGCTAGCAAGATCAGGAAGGTAGGTTGGTGGATATATTACCTGTGGATATAAGCTAGCAAGCTCAGGAAGGTAGGTTGGTTGATATATTACCTGTGGATATAAGCTAGCAAGATCAGGAAGGTAGGTTGGTTGATATATTACCTGTGGATATAAGCTAGCAAGATCAGGAAGGTAGGTTGGTGGATATATTACCTGCGGATATAAGCTAGCAAAATCAGGAAGGTAGGTTGGTTGATATATTACCTGTGGATATAATCTAGCAAGATCAGGAAGGTAGGTTGGTTGATATATTACCTGTGGATATAAGCTAGCAAGATCAGGAAGATAGGTTGGTAAATCTGTTCTACTCTGAATAATTTGTTGAACTGCCGCGGCAAACACAAGCTAAGAAAAATATAAATAATTTTAAGGTAAAATCTTAAATTAACGCCACAAGGGCGTACAAAGGGGGGCAAAGGGGCAGTGCCCCCCCCCCTTAATCTCTGAGCTATCACACTATGAAAATCTGAAACTGAAGAGTGAAGAACATAAAACATTAGTTTGCGTTTTTTTTCAGCTAGTTTTGTTTGAAGGAGAGATAAAGTAGTACTTGTTAGGTAATTGGACTGTATGTGTACTTTTGAATTTATGGTTCAAATTTCGCCCCCCCCCCCCCATCACTATATTTATTTAACGTAAAAATCATGAAGTCACAAAATGAGCGGCATCATTTGAGCAATTTCATCTCAAAAGACGATACAATTGTGTACAAAAACTCATTCGGTAAGTTCAAAATTTACTTTAGCACGGGTTCCCTCGACCAATTTTGCATACAAAACATCCCTTGCTAGCTCTTAATTTGTTTAGGAAAAATTGTTCACAGTTTAATTTCCTTAACTTCCCTGTACAGTAGTTGAATAGTAAATACGAACATTCAAAAATTGCAAAGTTGGTGGAAGACGACAAAAGTGATCACTTAATTCCTATATTATTTAAAAACACTCTGAAGTTAGCACTTATGAAAAGACTAGAGATCAAGCATTTATCTCTGATCTCCATTTTATGCGGACGGACTTATTTAATAGCTCTTTCATATCCCGTGTTGGTTGTTTCCTGAACAATCGAGAAAAGATCAAATATTAAAGTACCCTTATTAAATATTGAGATCAAGCGGTCCAAGGATACCTCTGACCTATTATTCTATTCACCTGATTGCATTGGTCCCTGATAACAACCAGAAAACTGAGAACTTGAACATAAGTTTTAAATCCACGGGTTAACGATACGATGGCAGAAACAGCTATAAAAATTTTATTTAAGAGGTTTAGAGTAAAGAGAAAGTAAACTTTTGATAATTTTTGAGAGTCAAAAACTTTTAACGATGGTAGAATCAAATCTTTTATTTAATTCACAATTACCTAGTCAAGAATACGTTGTGTGATAAAATAGTATTATTCACCGATATTTTCAGGGGGAGAAGGTGCCAACCCGTGATATGACCAAAACTGGATTCAGGGGAGAAGGTGCCAACCCGTAATATGACCAAAACTGGATTCAGGGGGAGAAGATGCCAACCCGTGATATGAACAAAACTGGATTCAGGGGGAGAAGATGCCAACCCGTGAATTGTGATATGACCAAAACTGGATTCAGGGGGAGAAGATGCCAACCCGTGATATGACCAAAACTGGATATCTGTCAGGTTTGAATCAAATACGGTTTAAAACTTTTGCCCCCATAATTTCAATCTTTTACTTACAAGTCTGAAATTTTGGATCAGACGAAGAAACCATCTCTTCCCGTCCCACTTTCAGGCAATCAGCTTTTCTAAATAGAAATATTTGAAATCCGAAGGTTTCAGTAAAATTGATTTATTTAGAAGTTCCAACCATATTCGAAATAGATAAATACTGACCTTGTAATATGAATTAGCTGTTCCCTGTAGATGATACTATTTTCTATCTGTATATCTGGCAGAACTATAGCTGTATTTGGAATACTGGTTGGCTGATCAGCACTCCTGAAATTTTTTTTTTTCTATCTGTATATCTGGCAGAACTATAGCTGTATTTGGAATACTGGTTGGGTGGTCAGCACTTCTGAAATATTATTTCATATCTGTATATCTGGCAGAACTTAGTTATATCAGGGATACTAGCTGGTTGGTCCGCACTCCTGAAATAGTATTTCTATCTATATATCTGGCAGAACTTAGTTATATCAGGGATACTAGCTGGCTTGTCCGTACTCCTAAAATTACTCAAATTAATATTTTCTATCTATATATCTGAACTATAGCTGTATCAGGAATACTAGATGGTCAGTACTCAAATTAATATTTTCTATCTATATATCTGAACTAAAGCTGTATTTGGAAAAATAGCTGGTCCGTACTCATAAATTAATATTATCTATCTATATATCTAGAAGAGCTAAAGCTGTATCAGGAAGCACTCTTGAAATAGTATTTACTATCTGTATATCTGGTAGCACTATAGCTATGGTCAGTACTCCTGAAATAGTATTTACTATCTGTATATCTGGTAAAACTATAGCTATGGTCAGTACTCCTGAAATAGTATTTACTATCTGTATATCTGGTAAAACTATAGCTGTGGTCAGTACTCCTGAAATAGTATTTACTATCTGTATATCTGGTAGCACTATAGCTGTGGTCCGTACTCCTGAAATAGTATTTACTATCTGTATATCTGGTAGCACTATAGCTGTGGTCCGTACTCCTGAAATAGTATTTCTATCTGTATATCTGGTAGCACTATAGCTGTGGTCAGTACTCCTGAAATAGTATTTACTATCTCTATATCTGGTAGAACTTTAGCTGTATCTGCAGATACTAGCTGGGTGGTCAATACCTGAAAGGATCTGTGGGAGTAAATAAAGAGAGGTACATTCCTTAATTAAACTAAGTTTCAGGTTCTTTAAAATAAACACTGTTAAGCGTATGTGAGCAATAGTTTTTTAGACGTTAAAACATGACAAGATGAATTCATAACTTTCTAGAATAAATTAATATAATTCTTTCAATTATTAAAATTCTATCCTATCAAAAAGCATTTGATAGCTATGATTCTAACAATCGATAGCTTTGATTCTAACAATTTTAAGGGTAAGATACGGTATAATATAGAGAAACATTGTATAAATTAATTAGTTTCTTATTTACTCAGAAATATGTTTTACAGAGTTAATTTCCTATGAATCAAATAGAGCTCCAAAAATGATGAGCTGCTTACCTTAAACTCTCCGGGAGATACAGCTGAACCTTGTTATCAAAGGTTGGATACCAGTAGGGCCTAGAAATAAAATACAATTTTTAAGAGAATAATTTGTACAATTTAAGCATTTATTAAAAAATATAACGTAACTAAACAAATTTAGTGTACTGCAGCACTGCAGTTTCTGGGAGGAATGTAAACAATTTAGTGTACTGCAGTACAGCAGTTTCTGGGAGGAATGTTAACAATTTAGTGTACTGCAGTACTGCAGTTTCTGGGGGGAATGAAAACAATTTAGTGTACTGCAGTACTGCAGTTTTTGGGAGGAATGTAAACAATTTAGTGTACTGCAGTCTGCAGTACTACAGTTTCTGGGAGGAATGTAAACAATTTAGTGTACGTACTGCAGTACTGAGTACTGCAGTTTCTGGGAGGAATGTAAACAATTTAGTGTGCTGCAGTACAGCAGTTTTTGGGAGGCATGTAAACAATTTAGTGTACTGCAATACTGCAGTTTTTGGGAGGAATGTAAACAATTTAGTGTACTGCAGTACTGCAGTTTCTGGGAGGAATGTTAAAGAAGCCAGTATTTTCCTGAGTTACTAAACAATGGGATTAAAAGGAACTATTGTCGTTATTTCTAGAGATATTTTTTTACAGGTAGGATCAGGTGTCTGATTCACAATGTTACCATTACAAGTTTGGTTTTGTAAGAAACCCTGAAAAAATGAAATAACAAAATATTTCCAGATTAAGGGTTAAAAGGTACTGTTGTGAATCAGACATAGTTCAAATTCACCTGTTTAGTCCTTGTAAAAGGGAGAGTATAAGAACTTGACGTCCATTTACAGAATCAACACAATCTATTGTTAGATAACCCTTCAGCCCAACAGGTCTAAAAATAAACATTCAAAGGATTTGAACAGTGTCAAGGGTCGGGACCAATAAGACATCCCCCCTAAAACCTTGTTAGAGGTAACTTAAGAAAAGAATTTAAACTCATTCTCAAATCTCAAGGGACTGAATCTAAGTAACAAATGCAAAATTAAGCTTTTATACAATAGTATAGTGTTGGACCAATGTGACATTCCTGCCTTTCCCCTAAACACCTTGTTAGGGATAACTTATGAAAAAAAATGTAAACCCGTTAATCAATGTAACAATTGCATAATTCATAAAAAAAATATAAAGAATTTGGTGGCATAACAGTTCCGTTCAGATATCTAAATTTTTGCTGGCTTGAATAGATTTTATGAATGAATAATAAAATCTTAAAATAAAATAGATTTAGTTAAAGAAAACAAAATACCTAATACTGTTGGTATTAGGATCACCATATCCATTATCCCCGGTCTAGAAAATAAGATTAGTTAAAGGAACTGTAAACGTAATTTTTAGTGACCCTCCTTGCAAAGATAGCAACGGTACCCTTGAAAGCTTTGTATGATTAAGTATGAATTAGATATGAATAATTGGGTTTATTTCACATGTTTAATTTCATTTGCGGTTTCTCTGCAAAAGTGACAATTGCGCATTTCTTGTTTTTTAAGAGGAAACCCCCAGAAATAAACACTATACGATCAAGAAAGACGACGGTATACCACATTTCTGATCAGATTAGGGTTGCAAGGGTACAGTGTTAGATCGAGCATTGTCATCATATAGAGGTCACTTGAAATTACACGTATAGTCCCTTTCAGAAAAACAAGTACGGTTGGCAATTCAAATGGAACGTTTTCATTCATTTTTCATGTTTAAAATTAATTCAAAAGTGAAGCAAAACATTACTAAAAAACTAAATAAATAAGAGCAGTTCAATACTTTTCAGCATAACTCTCGTGTCAGATGAATCTCTCTGTCTAAATAAATAAACTTGTGTACCTGATAAACTACTCCGGCATAGAGAGAATGGCCTAGAAACCCAAGAAAAAGTAAAACTATCACTCCAGCCATTGTTTTCTTACTGATGGCTTGTGATTAAATATTAAAGAAGTAAACAATACTGTTTGCAGTACGCTTGTACTATTTGTACTTGCAGTACGGAAACTAGCAAAAGGAATTTGTAATTTCACACTTCACAAATTATCAAATATCCGTTTTTTAGCTAAAAATAAAAATGCCCTTTTTATAATGCAATACTAATAGTTCTTCTAATTTCTATCTAAAATTGGAGTTTACAGATAGAAAGTAGGAAATCTCCAGTTCTCCTACTTTCTATCTGTAAATTACAATTCTCCTACTTTCTATCTGTAAACTCCAGTTCTACCACTCTCTATCTGTAAACTCCAGTTCTCCTACTTTCTATCTGCAAACTTTAGTTCTCCTACTTTCTATTTGTAAACTCCAGTTCTCCCACTTTCTATATGTAAACTCTAGTTATCCCACTTTCTATCTGTAAACTCCAGTTCTCCTACTTTCTATCTGTAAACTTTAGTTCTCCTACTTTCTCTCTGTAAATTCCAGTTTTCTCACTTTCTATCTGTAAACTCCAGTTTTCCCACTTTCCATCTGTAAACTCCGGTTCTCCTACTTTCTATCTGTAAACTCCAGTTCTCAACTTTGTAGACACCAGATCTCCTACTTTCTATCTGTAAACTCCAGTTTTCCTACTTTCTATCTGTAAACTCCAGTTCTCCCACTTTCTATCTGTAAACTCCGGTTCTCATACTTTCTATCTGTAAACTCCAGTTCTCAACTTTCTATCTGTAGACACCAGATCTCCTACTTTCTATCTGTAAACTCCAGTTCTCCCACTTTCTATCTGTAAACTCCAGTTTTCTCACTTTCTATCTGTAAACTCCAGTTTTCTCACTTTCTATCTGTATACTTTAGTTCTCCTACTTTCTATCTGTAAACTCTAGTTCTCACATTTTATATGTATAATTTTACAGGATAAATAAGATGAGAAAACAATTTTTACGGGTATTTCAAGTCACTTATTCAATTATATTTTCGTGGTGTCTTTTTTTCCCTTGATGTTTTATTTCATTTCATAAATTTCCTGGGGGGGGGCGGCCCTCCCCCTCCATGAGCTTAGGGTGGTGCCCGTGGGCCCAGGTCCTCCACCAATGCCTCTTTTTAGGATGGATTTATGACTGATGAAACAGTACTTCCGTAATCGTGCGATAAGTCTAAAACGTAGGATAAACCTAGGATTACTTAATATGTGGGATAAACCTAGGATTACTTAATATGTAGGATAAACCTAGGATTACTTAATATGTAGAATAAACTCAAGATTACTTAATATGTAGGATAAACCTAGGATTACTTAATCGTAGGATAAACCTAGGATTACTTAATATGTAGGATAAACCTGGGATTACTTAATATGTAGGATAAACCTAGGATTACTTACTATGTAGGATAAACCTAGGATTACTTAATATGTAGGATAAACCTAGGATTACTTAATATGTAGGATAAACCTAGGATTACTTACTATGTAGGATAAACCTAGGATTACTTAATATGTAGGATAAACCTAGGATTACTTAATATGTAGGATAAAACCTAGGATTACTTAATATGTAGGATAAACCTATAATTACTTAATCCTAGGTTTATCCTAGGATTCAGATACTCGTCTGATGAAGGGCCTTGAGTTTTTGCCATAAACTCAAAATTTCCACTCTCTTATCCTTTCAACTTGATAATGTAGACATCTGATATTTTTATATTATGTAACATACATTACTCCAATAGTTCATTTAAGTCTGTATCAATCCAGATACAACCCACTCTCGAATTCTATATTCTCCAATAATACTTAAATCTTTTTCAATCCAGATAAGACACTCTCTGTATTTTTTTAGTATGTATCGTTCAGATACAACTCGCTCTTGAACTTAATGTCTGACCAATAATGCTTTAGTCTGTATCAATTCAGATACAACACTCTCTGTATTCTTTTGTATGTATCGTTCAGATACAACTAGCTCTCGAACTTAATATCTGACCAATAATGCTTTAGTCTGTATGAATTCAGATACAACACTCTTTGTATTCTTTAGTATGTATCGTTCAGATACAACTCGCTCTCTAACTTAATATCCGACCAATAATACTTCAGTCTGTATCAATCCAGATATGACACTCTTTGTATTCTTTAGTATGTATCGTTCAGATACAGTTCGCTCTCTAACTCAATATCCGACCAATAATACTTCAGTCTGTATCAATCCAGATATGACACTCTTTGTATTCTTTAGTATGTATCGTTCAGATACAGTTCGCTCTCTAACTCAATATCCGACCAATAATACTTCAGTCTATATCAATCCAGATATAACACTCTCTGTATTCTTTAGTATGTATCGTTCAGATACAACTCGCTCACGAACTTAATGTCTGACCAATAATACTTTAGTCTGTATCAATTCAGATACAACACTTTCTGTATCGTTCAGATACAACACGCTCTCGAACTGGATGCTCTCTACACGAGAAATAATACGTGTCTAAACGTAATAAAGCAAAGATTCATATCCAGCTGATCTATATTTTGGGTTTTATAGTACATGTTAATAATAGAAACTAAATTGTAGTTAAATCAATAAACGTAGTTAAATTATGATGAACGCAGTTAAATTAATGAACGTAGTTAAATTAATGAATATAGTTAAATTAATGAACGTAGTTAAATTAATGAACGTAGTTAAATTAATAAACGTAGTTAAATTAAGGAACATAGTTAAATAAATAAAGGTAGTTAGGGTACAGATAAATATATATATATATATATTCACTTTGGGTATGTTCAGGTTTACAAAATATCGGGTTTATTACTATATTTATTACACTTATATTATCAGACTGTTGACATAAAACGTCACACCTAGCGCAGGACTTTATTTAGTAAATTTTAACATCAATATAGAATAGAGTTAAAACTGCAACAAAAAAATACAATTAATTACATAATAATGATAAAACAGACTTAATGTTATATTTGAAAGGATACCCACAAAGGCGGGTAACAATACTCTAGTAGTCTTCAAGTCACACACTAATAATAGAACAAAGTAGTTGAACATTTATATTAAAGAGAAACAAAATGAGGAATAAATAACTAAAGTCAAAAGACACAGATTTGGCACTCAGTGATGGGTTACTCCTTTGGCCGGATACTCCTTGGCTGGATACTCCTTTGGCTAGATACCTCCTTTGGCTAGATACTCCTTGGCTAGATACCTTCAACATGGTATCTCCTCAGGGCTGCGTATCTCCTCAGGCAACATATCTCCTCAGGCCAATTATCCCCTCAGGCAACATATCTCTTCTGGCACCATCCTTGTTCTGGTAACAAATCTTCTTCAGCATGTTGTTTTCCCACAGCTCCAATCCGTCCAAGCATTTTCTATTCTTTTGGACTGACTGCTTCTTGCCACTGTGGGGAGTTGGCGAATGTCTTCATCCTCTCCTTGTGAGAGCTGGCGCACAACTGGCTTCTTTCTCTTTCCCTCTTTGTGTTCTGAACCCAGATCCCGCCAATTCTTAATTCTGGCTGGTCAACCCCTGTAGGGGGCAACACTAGATAAGGCGGCTGGAGCAGGGAGAGGGGGGGCCAGGTTTGGGTTGATTTGTCCTGAAGAATTTTCCATGCTCTATACCTATCCTCAGCAGGGAGGGGGGTATGGTTACATTAAAGACATAGAGGTATTTGTTTGGATTTCTCAGAAAGAATTTTGTATAAAAAAAAAAAAAATAATTGAATATGAAGAGGTTTGCTTTAACTGCATTGATACAATTACTGAAAATGAAGTAATGGAGATGTTATTTTATTCCTAATAAAGTGACATTTTCTTTAAAGCAATTCAAAATAGGAAAGATTTTAAATCACATCAATAAACATATTTACATTAGCCGAAAAAGTCATAAAAACAAATGTGAATGAGTGTTTACATAATTATAGAAATATTGTTTGTTAGATCGTTAAAAAATAAAAGGAAAACTAAAAAGAACGAACAAATATAAATAACGGAAATTTTTATGGTTTCGAGTGTCCACATTTGCGTTTTCTGAAAATAAATTTAACCCCTTCCATTTATTATATAAAAGTACAACTTTAATTAACAACAACATAGGGCTGGGCACGTACCAACTTTTTCTAGCAGTTTTGTTAACGGCAAGTTCCAACCGTTATAATATAAAAATTTCAGGTAGTCGTTAATTTCAAAGGTAAGAATAGAACGTTCGTTTCGTTAACGACATTAACCATTTTTTTAATTTACTCTGAGTTAACGATCTCAATTTTATTAATGACTTTACAGGAAAATTTTCAACTATCGTTAACAGCTCCAGTCCTTAGCGGTCTAATCAACGAGGTTATAGTGTATGAGTGATTATGTACGCTAATCCTTTTCTAGATTTATAGGCCATAAACTATACCGACAGCGTACTGCATATTTGTTTATTATAAGTCAATTCTGGCCTAACCTAATCCGTTCTAACCTAATCCGTGCCGTTTTTCTTTTTCAACTTTTAATTTTTTTTAAAATGGCTAATCCGGTTTGTTAACGGTTTAGAAATAACGGCTTTTGCTGTTCGTTAAACCTCTTTTCTGTTAATTTTTGAAAACCTGCGTTCCGTTAACGGAACGTTGTTCTGCCCTACGTACACACCGTCAAAAGTGATGACAGCTATAAGTTAACAAATATTTAGGTTATCTACCGTTAATGCCGTTAAAAAGATCGAGATCTTTAACGAAAGGCAACTTGATTAACGAACAGAAAAACCATAGAGAAAGGAAACGAAGAGGTAAAGCTTACCTCAGATGTACACAACCGACCTCCCTATTAATTAATTAATAGAATGGTCTATCAATGTAATCCGAATATTTCTAAATTAAGGATCTGAACATAGATTAATAAGAACGCAGATAAATCATTAGATGTCGTCTTTGTGAGATTTATAGGTTTTTCGCTCACAATAACCCTGAGGGTGAGGCCGAAAGGAGTTACGCGCATGCGGCGTAGAATAGGCTCTCTCTCTGTCTTGTATTTCAACGCAGCATGCGCGTAATTCCTTTTGGCTTCTGCCTCAGGGTTATTGTGAACGAAAAACCCCTAAATCTTGTAAATACGACATCTAGTGTTCTATCTGTGTTGTTATTAATCTATGGATCTGAATATTAATATCCTGACTCATCTCTCTGAAAAGTGTTTGGTCAGCAAAAACCTGGATAGTGGATACACGACCTAAAGCTGACCAGCTTTCATTGGAGGGGGGGGGGGAAGGGACTTTCTTTTTTTTTAATTAAAAAGTCTTTTGTATATTTAGTTGTTTTATGTTTTTTCTTATATTTCATAGTTTTTTTTGTTATAATTCCTCTCCCCCCTTCGGAGGGGGGGGGGGGGGAAGCCCATCCAGGAATAAATGATGATGGGTCAGCATAAAGGATCCAGGTTTAGTCGTCTCCAGTAGACCACTCCGGTTATATCTACATAGTTCAGGTAAAAGATACAGGCAGATTTATAGTACATCATTTAAAATTTTAGCTTGGAAACTCAGCTTTTCCCCAAGTTTTCCCTTTTGAACCAGACTAAGAACTTTCCGAAGTTCTACCAAGTTCCCCAATCAAAATTTGAGGCAAATCTGTCCAGGGGTTAAAGCGTTATGCTCAGACTTCCAAACAAATATGCAGAGATTACTACCTTACATACATACTAGCTTGGGAACCCAGCGTTGACCAGGGTATTCATAGTTCCTCCCGCCGTTCACCCGCACTTGGTCGATTTTTACCAGGAAAATAAATTTTGTCTACAAAAGTCGACCCACTCAACTTAGAATCTCAATCCAAGCTAAGTGGTTCTTCCGATTTCCATAATCAGAATTTTAGGCAAATCAGTCAAGGGGTTACTGAGTTATGATCAGACAAACACAGAGAGATTAAAACTTTACACATATATAAATATATATAGATATAGGTACAGAAGGATTCATTCATCTTTGGAAAAGGAAGACGAATGTTAGACTCAAATTTATGATTTATATACCCATGTTTTGGAGGGTTTTCTGATCAATTATGATTTATATACCCATTATTTGGAGGGTTTTCTGATCAATTATGATTTATATACCCATTATTTGGAGGGTTTTCTGATCAATTTTGATTTATATACCCATGTTTTGGAGGGTTTTCTGATCAATTATGATTTATATACCCATTATTTGGAGGGTTGTCTGATCAATTATGATTTATATACCCATTATTTAGAGGGTTGCCTGATCTATTATGATTAAAATACCCATTATTTGGAGGGTTGTCTTATCAATTATGATTTATATACTCATGATTTTGAAGATTGTCTGATCAATTATGATTTATATACCCATGATTTGGAGGGTTGTCTGATCAATTATGATTTAGATACCCATGATTTGGAGGGTTGTCTGATCAATTATGATTTATATACCCATTATTTGGAGGGTTGTCTACAAAAGAGACTTGTGTGTATTTCTTGAAATAACAGCTTTAGTCCCTTTAAGAAATGATATATTTAGATATTTCTGCAGTATGGGAAAGGGAGAAGGAAAGGGAAAGGCTGCTGCCCACTTTGACGAGGGAACCCTGGAGGTGTACAAGGAGTGCTTCAGGCTCATGGACATCGACAAGGACGGGGTCATCAACAAGACAGATCTCAGGTACCACGAAATACTGACAAAGGAATTGAGTCTTTGCAACAAACTCTAATTTCCTAATCCCTATATCTGTGCAACCCAATGTCTTAGGCCTTAGGTATTTCAAACGATGAATTCTATTTAGATAAATAATCTAAGTTTGAAATATCAAAGGTTTTCACCATCAGATTGAAGAGATAAAGGAATTAGAAAATCAGAGATTGTGTCAAAGACTCAATTCATTTTTAAAAGTGTTAAATTTTTACATTCATTTAATACATTCATTTAATTTTGATCGAACAGTTTTTCACAATCTTAAAGGCTACATATGTAGCTTCATTTCTGAAAGTTGCAATTCAGGAAAGGTTAATGTTTTATTTCGTTAACCCTAACAGGTTGGGGGGTGGGGCGTTTGGCACCCCCTCTGTAGTTTTTTTGTCCTAGCACTCTCATTTTTAACACTATCACCGTGAAATTTTGTGTGACTTTTAATGAATAGTAATTTAAAGGATGTTTTGAAAACAATATTTTTTTTTTAATTTATAGGGTAGGGTACAGTGCGGAAAAAAGTCCGGTCTGTGAAAAAAAAAATCTAAAACGTACCCCCAGGCTATACATAGGTTCAGACCCCCCAGCGTGTATAGGGTTTAGACATCATATTTGCATTCTGTTTTTTTATCAAGTGTTTGAAAGTTGACAAATTCACTATTTACCCGAAAAAAAAAAGTTTTTAAAAGCTATAGTTTGAAACAATTTTGAATTTTTAAAATATTATCCAACAAAGAAATCTACTTTTTGGCTAGGGCTGCCTTCGACAACGTGGGGCGGTTGGTGATGGACGACGAGTTGAACCAGATGTTGAGTGAGGTGGGAGGACCCTGCAACTATGATAACATGATCAAGGTAAAGGTTGAAAAAGTGGAATATTTGTCGTCTTCGTCAGATAGTGTATATTAAATTTTCGCGCGCCCTTTTGCCTATAAATATTTTTAGCTGCTGTTGCCCTGAAAGTCGGCCAACTCAAATCATTCTCAATTGTGGACAAATTTTCCTCTTTCAATTGGCTCATTTTCAAAAAAAATTGTTTTTTTAGGAGTTTTTTATTTAATTTGGATGTTCAATAAACTTTCCCTGGGGTTATGTGAGGTCCCACACAAAATTTGGGCCCAATCGGTTTAGCCGTTTTGACGTTTATTGGATACAAACAGACAGACAAACAAGAAAAGTATATATATAGATAAATCATATATCTTTGCAACTTATTGCCATAGACCTTTGATATTTCAAATTACAAATTCTGTTAGATCAAATAATCTGAGTTTGAAATATCAAAGGTTTACACCATCAGGTTTCAATAGGAATTAGAAAATCTAAATTGCAAATAAATAAATTTTTACTCGACATGCAATGATAGTTAAATAGTTTCCAAAACCCTAACTTCTGACGATCTTAAAATTTAGATGTTTGAGGCCAAGATGGCTGGCGGTGTAAACGATCCTGACGATCTTATTGTTTCAGCATTCAAGGCATTTGATGAAGAAGGTGACAACATATTATGTTTTTATTGTATTTATCTGTCAATAAAGAGATTTAACCCCCCCCCCTAGTAAAAAACAAAACAAAACAAAACAAAAATTCAAAAATATATCAAATACAAAATACTAAACATATAATTGTCAAGGTTTTATTTTTTTCAAATATTGTTTTTTTAAACTGTTTCAATGATTTAGTAATTGTAGGGATATGGAGTTAAAAAAGCATGGGATTAGGATTTCAGCCGTTTTTTCAAACATTATCAGAAACAAATGTTGTCTGAAATTTGGTCTAATAGGTTGCCAAACCAAATGTCAAATTTGGTCTAATAGGTTGCCAAACCAAATGTCAAATACGACTTTCAAGTCCTCATTCAAATCATTTATATTCCGGTTTATTTAGAACATGACTGTATCTATAGCATTCTATTTAAATATAAAGGGACTTGATTTTAAGTGACTCTTAGTTCATTCAGAGATGAAAATGTCCGATTCACAAAGGTACCCTTGAAACCTTTATCTGGTTTGGTCGTTTTTTAAAGTTTAAAAGTATTTAACTCTGATAATTCCTATATGTTTTCCTGAAGTAGAAATTTAAAACATTCATATCTTATTCATACTTGATAAGACAACTTGCTTTTAAGGGTACCGTTGTGAATTGGGAATTGTCATCTTTCATAAGAGGGTCACTTGTAAGTGCGCGTACAGTCCCTTTAATTAGTTTGTTTTTAATTGTTTAGTGGAGGAGAAGATCAAAGGACAGATGGTGAAACGACATATTCTTGATTGTGAACATTTTAAACATATTCTAACAACGTTCGGGGATCCCCTGAACGTGGATGATATGGACGATATCTTCGATGAGTTTGATTTTGATGACAATGGTGATATTCTGACCAAGGTGGGTTCACTTTTTTCTTACATTTTTTATATTAAAGACTGCCCTGAGCTGAGAGAATTTAACTGAGGCGCGTACACTTTAAATGTGCGATAAATACGTAATACGATGGTCTTAATCATGTAATATAGATGACATCGTAAGACATTTAACTACATCAATTCCTGTTAACTTTGTGACATACGATATTAAATAAAGTATGTTCTATAGAGTATCTCCGTACTGTTTGCTGCGTAAGAGTAAACCTTAAGCCCTGTTTTTATAATCAGGCGGCTTTAATTTGGGATCGATTTATAGCTTGTCGTATAGCTAGGTTTGTGTCTTTGTGTGGCATTTATAGCACTGAAACCATGTGTTGATATAGCCAGGTCGGATTGCCCTCATCATTTAGGATTGTCATTTAGCTTGTGCTTGTGTCCTTGTGTGACATTTAGAACATTGAATCGTCCCCATGATTTGGTATTGATATTGATAGCTTATTGATAGCTAGGCTTGTGTCCATGTGTGGCATTTAGAGCATCTGATAAGTAACTTGGTTTAATAGCTACGCTTGTGTTCTTGTGTGGCATTTAGAGCCGGGGATTCAGTCTTGGTTGAACACTGTGTTAGTAGCTGGATTTTGACAGCTAAGCTTGTGTCCCGGTGTGGCATTTAGAGCCTGGGATTTAGTTCTGTTTGAGTTTGATCACGGACGGATTGTACCTGGATAGATACTTTTTGAGAACTTGTTATGGAGTAGGGGTTTACTACACACTGTACTCCCAATACGAGGACTATTTTATATAATGTATCCCTCTGTAAAGTTCTAAAATACTCCCTGGTTCCTGAGTAGTCTCCTGAAGACATTAATTTTATCTTTATTCTCCCCCATCCCTTCTCCCCTAATTTAGTCTTATACTGATCCCCCCCCCCTGCTTCATTGGAGTTGCGGGAAGAGTTGTCAAACACTTGTATGATGAATATTTAACGTTGATTGTCTAACATGTATAATGTAGTTTAGAGAAAGAATAGTGAGGTGAGGGCAATTGTATGTGAAAGAGAAATAGTAATAAGGTTAAATTTGAAAACAAATGGCGCGAAGCGGCAAGAAAACTACTGTTCAGGGGAAAAACAAACGAGCTCATTGTCAACCTACCACACATGATTGTAACCTTTGCCCGAAAATTCCAGGGGAGGCAGGGTGCTGTATATAGTTTCTGATTCTAGGGGGAGGCAGGGTGCTGTATATAGTTTCTGATTTGTTTCAAAGATGCTAAAAGAAAATCTTAAAAGTGTTCTTTTTACAGCTGTGGAGCACTTTTTGTTGGATTCTCACTGTTGCATAGCAAAATTTTTTTACTTCGACTGCTCATTAATTTTCGCTGGGGGTAATGGGAGAAACTAGGAAAAATTTGAGCCAAATCGGCCCAGCCGTACTTTGATGTTTATTGGATACAAACAAGTATACATACCCTTTTCTCTTTTTCATGCGTCATAAACTCTAGCTTTAACAGAACTAGATATGAAGACGCACTTGCCACTTATGTGGACGCACATTAAAGACACCCATTTTAACGCTCTTTTTATATAAAGTGCTTTTAAGCGCGCACTAAAGTGTGATGTACATCGAGAAATAGTTTTACTGCTCACTTAATAAATCACTTGTTAATTGTTATAGGTCTGCTTACTCTGCACAATTGTAGTATTAGACTATTCAAAGTCTAAAAGTCGTCTTCCTATTCCAGAATTTCCTATTCCAGTGTACATATAGCTATATATGTACATAAAACATGACACCTTTATAAAAATACTAACTTAGGATTTTTAAACCATGCTAAGAAGTAAGAATATTCCTGTGGGTCTTCCAGGTTCCCCAAATAAAATTTGATGCAAATCGGTCTAAGGGTTAACGAGTCTGTTTGTTTGTTTGTCCGATCATAACTCAGGAACCCTTTAACTGTTTTGCATTTTGACCAAGAGGAACTCATTAGAACCAGCGGAATGTTCTTAACTTGGTTTAAAATGTTTAAGTTGACCGGGTTAAATAATTTAGAGAAAGTAATATTTTGTTAAGTCTGTTGTTGATCTGTTTGTTGCTGGAGCTATGGATGAGAAGAAGGAGGAGGAAGAGGAGAAGAAGGAAGGTGAATCTGCTGAACAAGGAGAAGGTGGTGAAGGAGATGATGGCGGTCAGAAGAAGAAGAAGAAGAAGAAGAAGGCTGCAAAGTAAACAATGGAATGTTAATTTAAATTTTGTTCGAGGAAATAATAAATATATTTGTTAATTCAAATTAATTTCTGTAATAAGAGCCTCATTATGTAGACGAGTTTAATTCATCAAACGAAACCTAAAAGCTTTTAAAAATTTTATTTTTATTTTCATCTTTTTCGGGTTTGAGAATTTATAAATGAACACCGAATCAATTTCAAGCATTCGATTTGTCTGTCTGGAAAACTAACATTTTACATAAACTAACATTATACATAAAATTCAACTTTTAACTTTGAAGACAATATGTTCATTGCTTAATTATATATCATTGAACCGTCATAAACACAGCATTTTTAATGAACAATAATATCTGGAAACAAATTATTTATTTTAATAAATTTGTTAAATAGCAAAATTAAACATGAGGCAGATATTGTTAAATAATTTTTGAATGAAGGTGCAACTTGCCAGCATGCATGTATTAAACAACTTTCGTTGTTTTTTAAAAATTTCAAAAAAGTGTCCTATTCGGATCATTTGTTTGAAGGGACTTTCGGCGTAATTCCATGTGACCCTGTATTCTAAAACAGTCCTTTTTATCTTTTGTTTGAGAACATTTTATGACATATTCTGTTTTTCTAGCCAAGAATTTTCAACTGCAGTTCTTCTATTGAAGTCACCAGCAGATTTATGCAGCAGAGACTAGGGGAAAAATACGAATCAGAGAAAGGTTTTAATGGAACCATTGCATGTAACTCTATAAATGTCCGGGTCACGTGAAATGACGTGAGTAGTACCCCTTTAATATGGATTTAAGAATATGGTGAATAAGAAAATAACAAGAATACAATGCAATAAAAAGATTTTTTTAAAAGAAACAAGAAAACTCAAATGCTCTCGAATGCATTTTAATAAACAATTTGCACCCTAGCGCCCCCCCCCCAGTTACGACCCTGAGAACCCTGACTTCTAGAATTGGACCGAAAAATCAAAATAACCTATTTATTTCTGCTGAGTTAGATATCTGTCGAGCAAGGCCAATAAGCCTAGTCTACGATGTTGCCTCTAGAAATCCGGTCCGGTCCGGTCTATAGGCACCTGTGTGAGAAGGCGGTCAGGGCCATGAAACCTAGGCTAGTGTGTTGGAGAAGGGGCAGGGCATAGAAAATATTGCTGTTGTAACTTGTAGGTCTGGTTAGAAACTTAGAAAGTCAAACACTGTTGCTTTTATAGGCAATTTAGAATGCATGCTGGGTCAAAAACCTTAGCTTAGGCTCGCGCGCACGGTTTTCTTACGGCGGACAGGGTTAGTGCGCTCAACGGGACTCTAGCTGCACTAGATTAAGAATGTTTCCAATCAAAGGTATCTTAATTAAAAAAACAGTATTTCAAACGACATTTGAATTTACAGTAAACAAAACTGTTAATACTCTTAAACACAAATCTATCAGAATTTTACCAATTACTCCTTGTAACTGAAGCTAGAAACAATCACATAACTGATTTAAATGTTTATGTCCAAGGCTACAAAAAAGTATGAATGAGTTTGTAATGTAAAACTAAAACTCAAGGTGTTGACACAACACTTTAAAATCGTCCCGGACTCGAAAATTGATGCATAATTTTTATAGATATCTGATGGATCTTTGAGCTTAGGACCTCAGAGTAAACTTGGTAAACTAGGGGTTCTGATTAATTGTCAAGAGAGTCCTTACTTTAGAACCTATTTTTACCAATATAAATGTAAATTTGTCAAATTTTCTATTACTAGCCTTATAGGGCGCTTCGCGCCCATCTTCTAAATTAATTGTGAACATGTTCTCTTTGTGTACATCGTAAAACTAAACAAAAATAATTCGCGGATTTTCACAAAAATTTCGTGGATTTTCGACATTTTCAAAAATTTAATGAAGATCGAATTTTGATGGGGACAAATATTTGAAATTTTGATCATTTATAAACATTCCCTGTGGTCACGTGATGTCCCACAAAAAATTTGGGCCCGATCGGTTCAGCCGTTTTGACGTTTATTGGATACAAACAAACAAACAGACAAACAGACAAACAGACAGACAAGCCAAACTTATATATAGATTTCTTTTTTGTTGGTCTGTGTATTTTAGATATTTATGTATGGAGGATCTTTTACGATATTTTTGTCAGATTTTGAATGAGATCAAAATATAATTTAAAATATTTCGATACAGACTAAAGGTTAGTCTTACTTGCAGGGAGAAAGCGATTAAAAAAATATGGAGTTCAAAGTCTTTTGTGGATTAAACAATGTCACAAAGTATAAAAACATAATTGGAGGAATACGTGAACTTTTTTACATGGGTTAGATGGGTCGTCTTTATTCAAATAGGTTGACAATTTTTTTACATTGTAATGTAACCTTGAATTTTAATCATTAAAATGATTTTAAGCGTAATTTCAAGTGACCCTCTATACACTTATTATCTATATATATCTGATTATCATTTTGGAAAATATTGGGGGTTTTCTAAGGCTATAAGTATTCAATTCTTAAAATTCCGGAGTGACCGGCAAAGTATGTTGGTTGAACTGAATATGCAGTATTGTATAGAGATTTTTTTAGGACCCTTTTGTGACATATAAAACGTTTTAATATTGTATAATTACTGGGTTTGAGTGCAAAGTCGACGTTCAAAATCATCCATTTGGGTGGTTACGTCTTGAGAAATTAAATTACGACGACAAGAAATGTAAAAAAAATTCTAAAGTAAACCAATTAGTTATTTAGGATCAGGTTTAGAAAAAAAATTAACTATGATCATCGAAAATGAGTAATTTTATCCAGTTATTGGTTTTTGAAATGTCTTATTATTTCAAACATTTTCTGTAAATTTTTTTTATTAAAAATACGACATTTAAAGAATTTAAAGAAATCTGCGAAAAAATTCAAAATAATGATGAAAAAGAAATAATAGATTCTAACAAAGACTTATTGAGAAAATTACAATTGAGAAATATTTATAATAATAATATCGAACTAATATCGAACTAATATTGAACTAGTTTCGAACTAATATTGAACTAATATCGAACTAATATTGAACTAATATTGAACTAATATCGAACTAATATCGAACTAATATCGAACTAATATTGAACTAATATCGAACTAATATCGAACTAATATCGATCTTACATCGAACTAATATCGAACTATATACCTAGCGTTATATTCATAATTTTAGAGGTATACCTAGCGTTATATTCATAATTTGAGAGGTATACCTAGCATTCTATTCATATTTGAGTGGTATACCTAGCATTCTATTAATAAATTGAGAGGTATATCTAGCATTCTATTCATGATTTCGAACAAAATCTTCATATTTTCTAAATGCTTTTGGTACTTTTATAATCAGGAACAAAGGAACTGAGTTTTTGCCACAATGCCTTAGAATCTTACCTCTAGCTATAGCTTCATAACACAATGTCTTAGATCTATGATATTTAAGACTTTATTTCTGTTGGATGAAATAATCTTCGTTTAAAGTATCAATTAGGTTCACACCATTTGGTTGCAAAGATATAGGGATTAGAAAATTTTATTTTGGGGCAATCAACCCCAATCTGTGTTAACTGTGTATCTGACTTACAGGGTGAACTCTATGTATTGTATCTCTAGTGTTGTGTGATTGTTGCAGCATATCGAAGCACAATTCATCAGTTTAAAGGGTGAACTCTATGCATTGTATCTCTATTGTTGCAGCATATCGAAGCACAATTCCTCAGTTTACAGTACGTACTCTATGCATGGTATCTCTATTGTTGTGTACTTGTTGCAGCATATCGAAGCACTATACCGCAGTTTAGAGTGTGTGCTCTATGTATTGTATCTCTATTGTTGTGTGCTTGTTGCAGCTTTCGGAGCACAATACCGCAGTTTAGACTGTGTGCTCTATGTATTGTATCTCTATTGTTGTGTGCTTGTTGCAGCATATCGGAGCACTAACCTGCAGGGCATTGTAGTCAGCGCTAGAATCATTTTTCAACCTATTCTTACAATTTCTTTGTATCGCTCTCCTCTGATTTGAATCTGTAGATATCTTCAGCCTGCATATTCAACTTAAAAAATAAAGGGATGGTCACAGAGATGGGCCATAACCCGCCCCCCCCCCCCGGCCCTAAATTCCTGAAAACCCTAAATTCGGGAAAGGAATTACGTCTTTGTCCAAATCTCAACCAGGTTTAACTCCCCGGTTCTAAAGGAAACACAGTCCAACTGAAATTGCTCAACTCGTATAATCGAGTACCAAAGCTTTCTTTCAAGCTTTCTTAAACGCATGACATCACATTTATGGAAATGGCGAAGTTGGAATGGGTTAATCACATTACAAATTGGCGTAGTTACTATGTGAACGAATGACAACGTATATATTACATTGTTTTGATACAATTATGTTTGTTGGATGCTGTTATTCTTTTGTATGTACTATGAGAAAAAAACTTTTCTAAAAAAATAAAACTTCTATTTTTCTGTGATGAACGGAGAAAAAATGCAATTCATAGTACAGGGGAAATTAGTTCCAGAACTAGCAATTGGCCCATTTATAATTTTTGTGTTCAGTGATTTATTTTGTAAGTTATGAAAGTTAGTTTTGTTTTGAATTGCGGATTATACTCAAAAACGGGAAAGTGGGTTTCGTCTCGAAAATACTACAATGTTTCAAATTCAGAATATGTTCAAAAATGAAAAACCTGACATTGTCTTGAAACGCGGTTAAGAGAATTGAAATAAAAGAACTCCTTTTATAATTTTGATTTTAAAAAGTTTTAAATTGTTTAATTGTTGTCCTTGTCATGTTTAATAAAATATTGTTAATAGTTTTTATTACTCTGGATATGGGCCTGGATCCAAAAAACCCAGTCTTTCAATTTCTAATACTCAGTGTCAGTATCTTTTGGAAATTTTTTTGTAAAAAACTCTGTATTGTCTGTGAACCTGTATAATTTAAGAAACTCTGATGAATATTTTATCCCAAGAGTTGATAATGAATCTTTACGTCGATTTCCTTTCTTTGATTTGCCTAAATGTTGGAACAGTTTAGCT